TTGCGCCACATAGTATATCCATTTGCCTCGTTTTCATATACCGACTTGGAGGGCCTCAGGCCCAGCGATAGTGTATTAATGGTAAGGCGACCAAAACGATATTTGTGTGTGGACCCGGCATGGACTCTAAAGCGCTCAAATGATTGGCATCGTGTAGACATAGTTTTTGTACTTGGCAAATTACTAGCATCAGACTGGATGGGAAGTTGCTGCTGTTTAACTGGCAACATCATATCTACCTGTACGTACCGTACGTGCACTCAGTATTGCCAGGTACTCGGCATGAGAACACACTCCCACTAGGTCCGAAAAAATGTCATTCGCCCCCAAAACCGTTGTTTTTCGCATCTACTATCCATAAAGCATGAATTGGATTAAGTAAGCTTTTGATATGTAGTCGTATGTTTTAAAATATATTATGTTATAAAAAATACCGGAAATTGTTTGATTTTCACAATAAAAAATTATATTGTCGCCTTCGATTTAGGTCTCTTAGACGAAAACGAACTTTGGGTGTATGGCTTCAATCGACATAGAAATATGTTCATACATAGAAGATTGTTGCATAATAGATTCGTTTCAGGCAAATACGGTGGTTGATCGGAAATGGAACGAATTTTGAAAGAATTTCGGAAGCCTGAGAACTATTATACGCTAGATCTATGGCTCTGTTCGCGTGGGCATACTTAAGCGTGTGAAAATATTGTACGCATGGATGAGGAGACTCCTGTGTGAAAATATCGTTCGATTCGACACCCATGAGTGGAGAACAAAAGAAAGGGTGCCCATGAGCGCAATGGAAGGATCAAGTGCAGAGAAACTTGTCCGCACACATGATGTAAAACTGGCCCAAATTCGCGTAGGAGAGAGGAAATTGTCGAAGTTTTATTGTCACGGCACAAAATTGGCAAACGGTTGTAGAGTCGAACAAGAAGAAGAAGGTCAATAATTTAAGTTGTCCTTCGAAAGAATTTCAAAAAAAACTTCATATCTAACCCAAAATGTGTCTTAGCGTCAACAGACAACCAACCACGTCGAAATAACATTGGCTCAAACATTCACTCAAAGGGTGGAGAGAGACGACGTTCAAATATTAGAATTTACTTAATTATGTAGAGCTGCTTGAAAGGTAAAATCAGAGCATGGCTAGCACTTAATGAAACGCGTGGTGTTTAGAATTTTAGATGCAATATTTTATGACAACTTTATTTCACGTAAATATCTACATATTTTTTTTACGTCGCCCAATAAGATATGCATGGCTAATAAAAAGCCTGCACCTATAAAAAAAAAAAAAAATCCACGCAGCCATTGGCAACCAAATACTTAAACTCATCCACAAATCCACTAAGCAATACCGCTAAGAAGTGTGTCAAAATATTCTGGTGTTCCCCATTTATACTATGCGTGGCATACTAAAATTTACAACATTTTGCGTTGCTAGAATTTTAATGAAATCACATTGAGAAGAAAGCATACAGAAAAACATGAATTATAAAAAAAACATATCGAGCGACTCTGAAATGAGTTTCTATAGAAAAGCTGTGTGTGTTTCACTTATCTCTACGAGAGATACAAATTCGGGCTTTTGTGTCATTTAAAATCACTGAAATTGCTGCAGCTGTCAAATGGATGACAAATGTATTTATTTTATTTACATTTTGTTATTGTTCTATGGCTCATCGATATGCTTGGCCTGCATTGATTTTGCAGGATCTCAGTAAATCGCGTTTTTTTTTAACACTCCTTGACAGACCCCTAACTGATTTTATTTTGAAATTCAGCTCGGCAAAAACAAAAACGGAAGATTACTTCCTAAAGTCTGAGTCGAATTTAAAATTAGCTACTATATCCAAATATTAGTTGCTATGTTTATTAAAAGAGAGTGCAATGAAGAAAATCGCTACTGAAGAACTTTAGTTTTACAACTACTCTGTAAACAAACAAAAATATAAGATAGGGCCTTTCTGTATGTCGGTTCAGCGTGACAAGAGTTGTTGGGCTAATTTCACGAGTTGTTTTTTTAGTGTCACTCTCTTCTCTCGTCAAAGAAAAAAACAAACGCTAAAGCATTCTTATTGCACTTATTGCAATCAGTGGAGTTCCAGAAAAAAAGTACAATAAAAAATAAATCAAGTATTTCAAAAGTTTTAGCCTTAAAATATTTATTTAGGCGAAAAAGTGCCGAAATTACTATTTTTTCATTGTCGCTTGAAAAAATTTTAAGGATTTTTTTTTAAACCTTTTGGAAGTTTTCAAATGGAATGTTCATATTAGAGGGAATGAAATTCGGCATCAAATACAGCATATCTGTGCAGTTTCAAGAGTGTGCCACCCAATTTAAAAAATAGCAGCATGCAGAATATCTGTCGCAGCTATTTTGTAATTTTGAAATTTAACGTTTTTTTATTTTATTTTAAAAGTTTAAGGTAATGTTCTTCTTGCCAAAACGAACCAATCTAGAGTAATAAAACTAGTGTGCAACCAAATGAAAAAAATTACATTGATTATATGACGATGAATTGCGAAACAAAAATTCCAATTTTACAATTTTTATTGGAACTCAAACTGCCTTCCTATAGTAAGGCAGGGGTTCCCAAACTTTTTTCACCCCAGCACCCTTGTCGTGCTAAAAAAAATTTCGCGGCACCCCTACTCTTCAAATGCAAACTTTATGCTCAATTAGCTTTAATGTGAGGACTGAAATCNATACAGCATATCTGTGCAGTTTCAAGAGTGTGCCACCCAATTTAAAAAATAGCAGCATGCAGAATATCTGTCGCAGCTATTTTGTAATTTTGAAATTTAACGTTTTTTTATTTTATTTTAAAAGTTTAAGGTAATGTTCTTCTTGCCAAAACGAACCAATCTAGAGTAATAAAACTAGTGTGCAACCAAATGAAAAAAGTTACATTGATTATATGACGATGAATTGCGAAACAAAAATTCCAATTTTACAATTTTTATTGGAACTCAAACTCAAACTTCCTATAGTAATTTTCGATGCTCTTTTCGAAACCGGAGTCCGTTATCCCCTAAAGCAGGGGTTCCCAAACTTTTTTCACCCCGGCACCCTTGTCGTGCTAAAAAAATTTCGCGGCACCCCTACTCTTCAAAGGCAAACTTTATGCTCAATTAGCTTTAATGTAATAATGATTTTATTATTTCCTTTAAGTTTTTTGGGGGCTTTTACAATTTTGCCCTGAAATCATTTGATGCGAAAGCTTGCTGGTGTATTTGTTTTTAACCGACTTCCGCATAACTTTGGACCACGTTAACCGATTACTATAATTCTTTTTTTAAAGGAAAGGAAAGGTTACCTCACAAGTGGTCAAATTCTAATTTGGTTTGGTTGGGTTAAAGGTGTTCTGGACTAACTGCCATATGAATCTCTCCTCAAAACCAAGCTAATTGAACAATGTTTTCAAGTACTACTTAAACACATATACTCATCATTTGAACATACAAAAACATTGCGCGGAAAAGTCTGTCTTACGAAAGCTAAGTCATGTTTTCACATTTTATTTACTGACTTTAAAATTTTTTTAACGGTTGGCATCATTTTACATTAAAATAGTGCAATATTTTAGCTGCTATTAATTTCGCACAGAAAAAGTAATCATTTGACCTAATGTGCAGTAGTCAAAAGATTATAGTCAAGTTTAAACGTATTATTTTTGTTGTTACTGAACTTTTGTTATTTTTTTTTTTATAAAAATATAGTTCATTCTTCAATAAATAACAGCAAAATAATATTTTAAAACTTGTGTAAATTTGGTTTGGGCCGTGCTATCATAGTAGCACAATGCCACTGAGTGCATTTTAAAATTTTCAGGCAATAACATCATGCGATTATCGATTATATGTTTTGTTGTTTGTGTGAAATATTTTATTTTCAACAGTATATTTTTTTTTTTATCAAAATATGTTGAAATAAAAGTGAAATCAAAAAAAAAAAAAAATTGCCAGAAATGCTTTAACTCAAGTTACATATTTCTCCAAAAGAAATGCTTTGACACTACGAACTGTTTTGAAGTGCAGTTTGAGTTGGATAACTTGTGGTATCATAAAGGGCCCAATATAGACCTAACCTTATTTAGAAACGTTTCAGCGGCGTTTGAAATGTGCTAATAGATTTCATTTTTTTAAGGACATTGCATTGGATTTTAAACAATTCCCCTTTCCTTTTTTTTTGAGATCAAAAAAATAGTATCAACAAGCGACCTTATAAATTGGTGACAAAAAGTACTGCCTTTTGGTATAACACCATCAACAACAACAAACAGCAAAACCTGCGGACATTTGACCGGCCAAATGGCAAAGTTCACTGGACATTAGATCTGCTTAGGCAGTAAAAGGTGCAGTTATAGTATATAGAAACAACTACACAGGAGCTAGTTGTTGAAGGGAGTCTGAAGCTAAGCAAACGCTCGACTATAAATATTTGCAGGTGAACGAGTACTAAAAATAAGACCCACACAATACAGCATGAAAATTGCTTGCTCACACCACGCAATAAATTTCCAAACGACTGCGCTAATAATAATATTTTCACCTAAGCTAGAAAACCTTTTTCATGATATTGACACTCGAACATCATATTTCATTTCACACTTTGATTGCGTTAACGAATTCGCTCATGTATAAAGTTGCTTTAGTACAAAAATAACACAATTGCGTTGATAGAGCTTTAGAGTATGTAGGATTTCAACTTTCGAGAATTGTTATGTTCATTTCCTGCGTTACTGACTATCAGAAGAACATTTTTAGATCAGCTTAAATAGAATTCGAATTTAAAAAAGGAAATCTACCGACAGCAGCTAAAATAACTCGAACTCCCGCCCATATTCCTTGTAAGCTTTTATAAATAAGATTATGTAAGTAAATGTAGGATGTGTAAAAGTATATATATGTATAAACAAACATGCGTATTATATATGTACATACATATATGTATGTATATGTACATATTGATAAGCCTATTAAGTTAATCTACTCACGTAATTTCGAACGCTTGCTGCAGTCAATGTTGTATGGCAGATCACATTTTTCCTCCAGAGGGCTGTAGTCATTGAAGACCATACCATCGGCACAAAGGCGTTCAGTGGATTTGCCTTCGCTGCAATTAATTAATATATATTCACATGTTTATACATACATACATACATTTATACATACAGTGTAGCAACAAAATCACATGAAACGAATAAATGAATTACTGGCGTGAAAAAATTTCTTCTTGTTTTATAATACAGAAGTGTATGCAAAGTGTTTGTTGTTGTCAAGTTAATATTATATCTGGTAGGAAAAATTTATCATAAATATCGATAAAAACTCGCTGTGGGTGTAGAAAGTATTTGGTGTTAAGTGTTGCCACTTAAATGCGTTTATTTTCGGCAGTGTGAGGGCGTACATATATGATTACGGTTGGTGATGTGAAATGAGCTGCGTCTAATATGTACTAAAGCGCCATGGATTTTGGAGACAATATAAAAATACTGTCAAATTAAATCGACATAAAGATGTTTGCATGTAATTTATATTTTATATTGAATGTAGGGATACCAGCAGCTGGATTCCAACATTCGTTATCGCTAATTTTCGTCGCCAAAAATCTGCAAAAGAATAGCAGGCCCGCCGAACAACATACAACATCTAGCTATATCCCGTTAAGAGTCGAAGAAAAAATTCCTTATTTTGAAACCGAAATTTTACCACACTAAATGTCAACAACTTCGAAATATTGGCTACATGGAGATGGAAAATGTCATTGAAACTTACGCGAAAAAAAAAACCGGAACAAGTTATTGGAAAATATTGAAAGCAATTTGATAATATGTATGTATTTATTAACTCACAAACATGCGTGGTATTTGTCGCATTGCTCCAAATCTGGGAAGAAACCATTCGGTTCAGGGCATTCGTCTGTCGGAACGTAGCCCTCTTCTGTTGGTGGCGGATCTGTGGGTCGCTTAGGCAGATGTCGCTGTGACGTTGGATGTCCGGCGCCGGAGCGGAAATTACTGCGTTGCGCTAAAGCGGTGCCTAAAGGAAAAAAAAAATTATAAGTATTTATTAATAAAATAAATAAAAACGATTACAATTTATTTTTTGTTTGTTTTATTTTGTTTTTATTTCTTAAATAATTTTGTTAGTTTAAATTTGTTAATTTCTTAACTTGATTTTTTATTTTATTTTATTTCAGGGCAATTCTGGCAACTAATATATATGGCAAAAAATATATTAAATTAAAAAAGAAAAAATTAAATGATATTAAAAAAAAATATTTTTTCTTGTTAAAACATAAAAATCTAAAAATTTATGAAAATATAAACAAAGAAAAAACGAAAATTAAGTTTCCAAAAATTTACTGAAATTAAAACAAAACGTTTCTTCCTAAACAACAATAAAATCTAGAAACTAAAAGAAAATTAAATTTATAAAAGAAGAAAAAATTTAATAGGTTTCTAAAAATTAAGTGAAAACCAAAGAAAAAATGTGTGTTTTTTTTAACAATAAAACCTAAAAACTAAAAAGGAAACAAATTAGAAAAAGGTAAACTATGTAAAACAACTTTCTAAAAATTAAAAGATATTAAAAAATATGTATTTCACCTTTTCAATTTAAATTTGACAAATTAAGTTTAAATTTAATTTGTAAAGCAATAAAAACTAAAAAGCAAAAGGAATTAAAAACCCAAATTAAATTAACTAAACTAAAAACGAAAAAATTACATTACATTTATTTTTAAATTAATAAAATCTAGAATTTAAAAGAAAATTCAAGTAAAAATAGAAAAGATTTAAATAAACAAAATTAAATAAAATAAGTTCTTAAAAATTTAATGTAACTAAAAACATACATATTTTCCCATTTAAAACAATAAGATCTGAAATTTAATTAAAAAATTAAATATTGGCGCTGTGGCCGATTTTGGTCGAGTCCAAAACAGCACGCCAGTCGTTTCTCTTCTGTGTCAACTGAAGCCAAATAAAACAAGTACATACATATGTATATTAGTTTAAAATAAGAAAAATACATTAAATAAGTTTCTAAAAATTACATGAACTTAAAATATTTTTTTTTTTTGTCAACAAATTTTAATGTAAAAACTAAACGAAATAACATTAATAAGGTAATCCAAGAAAGAGATAATAGAATAAATAGAATAAATTAGGTTTTTGTTAATTAAACGCAATTAAAAACTACTTTTTTTCTTAAAACAATAAAATCTACAAGCTTTTTTTGTAAGATTTTCGTGCTACAATAAACCGAACCTTTGAAACTAACTTTGCCTAAAAATTGCCCTATTAATTTACTTTTATTCTATTAACCACAATTTATTTTTTATTGATTAATTTTTGCTCAAATTGTGTAAAACATTTTGTATTCAATTTTTTTTATTGTTTATTTTATTTGAAATTTGGTTTTATTTTGGGTATTCAATCGCCTTCAGTTTTTTATTTCGTAATTTTTTTTTCATATTGCGTGGCTTTTTTCACTACCGGTATTCCGAGGTTTTGAAATTTTTTGTGACCGGTCTTGCGCGTTTCTTTTATAAGAGCTTCATGTTTATACGGCAAAATGTTGTAACTGTGTACGTATTTAAATATTTCCATTATAAAATTTATTATATTTAATTTCTTTTGAATTCAAATTGTTTAAATAAGATACAATTTTTAATTCGCTTCAATGTGTTATGACTTTTTTTATTGATTTTTTAACTTAATTGTATTTTTTATAAATTTGTATGCAATCAAATTATTTGCCCTGGCGATAATTATGTATATCGGACTAGCCCATCATGAACATTTATAAAACATATTTATAC